TTGTCAAACACTAATTTTATTTTTATAAATACAATCCTATGGTACAATAGGTATGCGATTAAAGATTGAATAGTTTGACGGAGAAAGATAAACACAATTAATAAAAGTATGTTGGTTAGGTTAATATAAAATCTAAGATAGAAATTAAAATGCATACTTTTGCATATTTTGGTAAATAAAATGCATATTTTACAGTTTTTTATTGCATACAAATCCTAGCCCTGATAATTAGTATGATGGACAGTAAAATAACGATATTTTACATAATATTTTGTAGACAATTTGACACATTAACTAAGTGGTGTCAGGTAATATATAAAATAACTAGTTTAAGTATAAATTATATACATTACCTACACGTTTTAGGTATTTTATAAATTACCTAGTTATTTCCTAAAATAACTGATTCAACAGTTTAACTGCAATATAATATATACTTTGGTACTGTTAGCTTTTGATTTCATTTATAATATTTTGTAATGTTGAGTTAACAAATTTTAAAATTTCATACAAAAAATGTAAGTGACTTATTCACAAKAATTTTTAAAAATAAATATTTAAAAGAACTTTTGAACTACTAATTAATATTACATTTGGCTTTTGATGTTTAAAACTGATTYAAATGTGCATGCTACCAATTATTTTATATTTTGTTAATTCCATGTAAGTAAAYCAAGTAAGTTATTTTACTTMAGAAATAAATTTTTATTTCAGGCAAAGCAATTGCTGATGTTGTACGTACATGTATTGGACCCAGAGCTATGCTTAAAATGCTGATGGACCCAATGGGTGGAATTGTGATGACGAACGATGGAAATGCTATTTTACGAGAAATTACAGTTCAACATCCTGCTGCTAAATCATTTATTGARATTGCTCGGACCCAGGATGAAGAAGTTGGGGATGGTACAACATCAGTTGTAGTACTCGCTGGTGAAATTCTTGGTRTTGCAGAACAATTTTTAGAACAAAAACTTCATCCTACTGTTATAATTAGAGCTTATCGTCAAGCTTTAGAAGACATGCTGGATTTYTTGGATAAGGAATATAGTATACCATTATCTTTGGACGACGAGCCTAAGTTAATTGAAGTGATTAAATATTGTGTTGGAACCAAGTTCATTGGTCGYTGGTCAGATTTGGCGTGTAGTATTGCTTTAAATGCTGTTAAGACAGTTAGTATAAGAGATGAAGGTCGTACTGAAATYGATATAAAGAGGTATGCAAAGGTTGAAAAAGTACCGGGTGGAGCTATTGAAGATTCTCAGGTATTAAATKGCATTATGTTGAACAAAGATGTGACACATCCAAAAATGAGAAGGTTTATAAAAAATCCCAGAATTATTCTTTTGGATTGTTCTCTGGAATTCAAAAAAGGAGAAAGCCAAACAGAAGTCGAAATTATCAAAGAAACTGACTTTACACGGTTATTGCAGATTGAAGAAGAATATATACAACAAATATGTTCCGATATTATAGCTCTAAAACCAGACTTGGTTTGTACAGAAAAGGGAGTTTCCGATTTGGCACAGCATTTCTTGTTAAAAGCTAACATATCAGTGTTGAGGCGTTTAAGAAAATCTGACAATAATCGTGTTGCAAGAGCTTGTAATGCCACTATTGTTACACGCACAGATGAATTACAGGAGAGCCATGTTGGAACTGGAGCTGGTCAATTTGAAATTAAAAARATAGGTGATGAATATTTTACTTTCATCACTGAATGTGTTAATCCAAAGGCTTGCACTATTTTGCTTAGGGGACCAAGCAAGGATATATTGAATGAAGTTGAACGGAATTTACAAGACGCTTTGCATGTAGCCAAAAATATTATGTTAAACCCGAAACTAGTATCAGGCGGTGGCTCTATAGAAATGGCTATATCACAATCATTAGTTAAAAAAAGTGCTGAAATAGCTGGTGTTACTCAATGGCCATACAAAGCTGTTGCACAGGCATTGGAAGTTATTCCCCGTACACTTTTGCAAAACTGTGGCGTTAGTACAATAAGAACAATGACGTCTTTAAGAGCTAAACATGCAGTAAGTGGTAATGCGAGTTGGGGAATAAATGGTGAGACTGGTGAAATGGCTGATATGAAAGACCTAAAGGTTTGGGAACCAATTGTTGTGAAGTCACAAGTGTACAAAACTGCTATTGAAACTGCTATATTGTTGGTGCGCATTGATGATATTGTGTCAGGTACAAAGAAGAAGGGCGATGATGGACAGCCAAAAGCATCTACTCAACCTACTGAAGAATCCATGAAAGAATGATTTTTAAATTACTTATAGTTCTTTATTATAATTATTATTACTCACAAATTCCTAAAATATAATCTAAATAAACACTATTAATATTATTAATATTTTGATGTCAAGTTTTTTGCCAAGTTTAACAAATTCTGCTATTAAACTTTTTTTTACTTAATAAAAATAAATTTTACTATTTTGTGGTATTATTTCTGAACCATTTTCCTGTCAATAATTATTAGTTTTATTGTATTTTAAGCTGCTGGTTATTACATTTTAAAATCTCAAATAAAATTAAAATATCTAATCAATAATTGCAATAGGCACATTTTTATCTGAGTTCTTAACAATTTATTTT